ATATATATATATATATATATATATATATGACCTCCTCGTTGGTGTAAGGAAAGAAGAGAAGGGGAAGATCATAACTTCAAAACGTTTAAAACGCCTTATCGAAAGAATGAACGAATAAAAACTATTCGTGTGGAGAGAAGAAACGTGTGAAACGTGAATATATTCCGCTTTATGAGGGGAAAAGAAAAATATTTTGACAGAAACGTGGAATTAAGTTCCATGTGAATGTGTAAAAGGTGATTAAATGAAAAGTTTCTTAACTTCAAAATTTCAATCTCTTTGCTACAATAAACTGCATTCGTCGTACGTTCAAGGGGGCGTCGTTACATTTATTTCCATTATGGGAAACCTGTCTATTTCTTTTCCTCCCATTTCTCTCTCCATCTATCTTTCTTTACTTCATGTTCAGACCTTATTGTTTTCCTGCTTTTTATTGTTTTGAGAGTGATTCTATGTGGATCATATTTTTAATTTCAACGGGAATTATCAGTGTTTTTCCCGTGGTTTTCTTTTTCATTTTATTTAGAATCGTATCTACTGTTCAATTATTTCGTGTCTTGGTTTACGTACCTTCTGTTGTTTTTGCTGCTGCTCAAGTTGTTGTTTGCGAGTCACTCGTTTTTTTTTTTTTTCGTTTTTATTTTTTTCTCCAATCGAAGAGAGCGGTGGGTATATTGCAGGTCAATAAAATTAAAAGAAAATGTCTGATGTTGGTGGCAGCGATACTCCCACCAGCAACAAAAGTATCGATAGCGATTCATCAGATGTTCAGCAGACAGCGACGACACCAAGGCATCAGTCATTCGTTCATAATACGGCTTGTGAACACAACCATAATGATGTACAGTTAAATTCGGGGAGCAGACATGATCTCAACGAAGATTCACCTCTGCCCTTGAAAGATAATAATATAAATGTCAATGATAATACCAACGTCGACAGAAGTGATGAAAACCCCTTTTTTCCAACAACACTTCCAATGGATCACCAACGTGAACAAGAAGGACAATGTAATTGGAGCGAACGAAAACCTTTCTCCCTGGATATACAATCACAGCCTGATCAAGGTAACAGGGTGGAACCAAACTTAAATGAAACATCAAAAGCATGGGAAAGTAGCGCAGCTACTCTGAGAATAAATGAGCCTAACCCCTTCGAAGGCCACTACATACCACAACAAGGCGGTAGTACCACAGTGTTGCCTATGCAGACCATAAATGAGGCAAGGCCACGAGAATTTAGACGGAAATCTGTCGAATTTTCTACCAACGAAGACAACAGAGGTTCGGAAGTGGGAAATAGACCAAATTATCACCACAAAAGGAGACGAAGTTCAGCATCATCTGATAACTCTTTGGGATTGGACAGTTCTTTCACAACGTCATCAAAGAAAACGACATGTTCTCTCCGGTGCTGGGTGTTGTGCCCACTCGTGTTTATTCTGGTGGTGGTTGGCGGTTTGACGCTGGGATTGACAATATTGTTTTCGCTCCGTAACTCTCAAAAAATAATTTCACCACTGCAAGCTCTGCTGGTGACCAACACGGAATCTTCTGTAGGTCAATTGTCATTCTCGAAGATGATGCAGATGGCACGTGGAACGGGGAGCCTGTATTTCTCGAACAACACCTCCGTGAATCCCCTCACAGACAAACTGATGCCACTTGAGAATGGAATGATGTCGCGTCTATGTGCTCTTTTGCGCGATATTGATCCCGAAAATGTAGTATATGCTATGAGTGCTGTGTCCTTGACAAGGAAACAAGCAGCATCGTGTGCGTATTTTCACCTACGAGATGGTTCATATTTTGGAACAACAAGCAAAAACGGTTTAATTGATGACTTCTACCATATTGACCCGCTTACATTGGAGTATGCAATCCCCCTAGAGCCCTATAGGGTCTATGCTGAACCAATAACTATTGAACAATACACTGCTCGTCACGGTTTTGACCAGGTGGTCAATATTTTTAATGAGTCACTTCAAAAGGGTGAGATGATGAATGCGTCACAGTATTGGGTTACCCCGCCTAGACCTCCAACATATCAAGAGTATGTTTATCCGTTTTTGGAGTCGTACGAAGATGGTACTACTGGGGTTGGCTACTTGGCTTTGTCTATGTTTACTAACAATATGCCAAGCATGGACGTGTACAAAGCAAACGAAACTGGCATTCGTGTGATGCTTGTGGAGCCCAACGCCACAGCAGAACGATTCCTTGTTTTGGGGAACAATTGGGGTCAACCACTCTCTAATGTCACGAACGTTTGGTTTTCTTATGTAAAGGGTGACCCAATCAGATTTATGTACACTGACGATGTGACTGATCCCGCGATGCGTGAGGGACTAAAACACATTAACCTGCGTGACGCCATGAGTGTTGGTCGGAATGTGGGAACACGATATTGGTACGGCGGCTATGATGCACGTATCACGGCTAAATATGTTGTCACTGAGAGTGGTGTGGAGTTGGTACTTGTGGTTGTTGTCGACCGCAGCTATTATTTTGGGCCCATGGTAACTTTGCGTGATGTTACCTTTGTTATCGAAGCCGCTATATTGCTATTGGTGACCGTTATTTGTATTATATTTCTGGAGTGCTGTATGGTTCGCCCTCTCCGCGCAAATCGGTCCAAGCTGAAGATGGCCCTCAGTGGCACATCTGTGACAACCACAAAACAGCGCGGTGTTGTTTTGCGTGAGGTGCGAGAGCTGGAGGATGTGTGTGACACGTTGCGTCGTCGTCTCAACAACATCCGGACGTACCTGCCGGATCGTGTTCTTGCGGAGGCTGAGGGGGTAGTGAGTCAGGCATCGCTTAGATACGGTTTGGATTCATCACGCTTGCGTGCACAGTCCTCTGATGAACTTAAGCAAGTGATGTGCAGCATTGCGTACGTGTACTACACCCCACGCAGAAGCCGCAACCCCAGCGATGTGGTGGTTGAAATGATGATGCAGATGGTTGTTTGTGCTTCCTCTGAGTGCGATGGGTGTCTTGAAGTGCAGCGGCCTGACTACTGTGTGGTGAGCTTTGGGGTGCAGGGAAAAGGTGGTGAGCTTGCAGCTGAGGCATCGCGGGCAGTGGAGTTTGCGCGGCGGCTGCGTGCGGAACTGGCGGAGTGCGCTGAGCTGGATGGGCTGTACCGCGTGATTGTGGAGTCTGGTGCGTTCTTGAGTGGTGTCGTCAGCGGTGGTGGCCGCAGTCAATTTGTGCTGCTTGGCCGCAACCTACATCACCGGATTGGTGGCTTCCTACCGCAGACGGGGGTGGTGTCTGCAGTAACTGAGGAGACGGCACTACTGGTGCGTGGACGCTTTCGGTTGCTACCCTTCGAGACTGTGTACCTTGATGCGGATGGCGATGCGCACGTGAAGCTGCACGAGGTGCTTGATGGGGACGCAAGCACAGCAGCGTGGGAGGACTATGAGCGCTGCTACGCCGAGGCGTACGATGGGATGGTGCGTGGCGACTACCAGGTTGCGTTGTGTTGCTGGGACAGAGCGAAGACGGTGGAGCAGAGTTCCCTTGCGAGCGAGGGGCCGTCTTGCAGATCCTCGCAGTGTGAAC